AGTCTCCTATATATATATATATATATATATAGGAGACTTGTAGAGTGTAAAAAATAATGAAAAGGCATTTATCAAACAATTCTCTCTCTCTGTAAACAGCATACACTTATATAATGAGCTTCCAGCTATTAATTTATGTGAAACTAATGAGAATAATTGTTGTACTATACTATAAAGACATTCATCTGAATACAATTTATTTGTATCTGACTAGTGCTCTTGATGAATCTTGCAGACTTTTTGTTCATTTTCTTTCTCTCATCTAAACCATGTTTTTGATCTTACAACTTTTACTGAAAAAAGGAGAAATTCAAAATTCTGCGAATCTTTTCTGCCAATGCCAAACAACTTATTTTGCTAATGACTCTTATCATTTATTGATTTATATGAACGAAGTCTGAAGAAAAAAGTCATATTGGCAATTTAAAAATTATTATTTTTTATAAAACAGGGGCTTCAATATAACGTGGAAGAACCATACACAGCCACAACAGCCTGTTACTGCCTCCTCATGTTGCTCACAAGCTTTGCTGCTGTGGAACTGCATCCTAATAGCAACCTCTGTGAGAATTACTTTTAACTGAGGGCTACGCACAACCCGAGGTCACAGCTGGGGATGCAAATAAAAACATATGCAATTTTCATCAGGCATCCATGTCAGTGAAACACAACTTCGGCTGTTCTCAACAGCCTTAAGCTGTTTGGCAATGGCAAAGAATATTAGGCAACGTTTTATAGAAACAACCCACACAATCAGTTCTGCTGCTCAACCCACCAATTTACAAACAGTTTAAGGGAAATAAACAGGCTTTCCAACAATATAATATTTATTGCCAAGCAGCATTGTTACAACAAATAAATAATCAGCCCAACAGTTCCAATTGTCTTTTAATTTTACTTAGATATAAAATATTCATTTCGGTTGACTCACATCTCTTTAAAGCTTCACGTGGAAAACGTGGTTTTCACGTGGTAAAGACACTGAAAGTTAAGTTGGGTTTCTTTTTCAGAAATAGATCCTGTCTAACTCTGAATGCTAGGAAATACCTTGTAACTGTGACTTTCCTTCCCTCCAATGACTACGGTGACATTATTTACATGAATGCCCCTACAGGCACTCTGCAGATATTGGACGCAGTCTATCACAGTGTGCTAATATTCTGTGATGGTGTAGGGGCATGGAAGCCGACTTGGGACCCGAAGGTCCCAGGTTCGATCCCCGGTCATTGCACACCTTGTGGTGTCTCTGAGCAGCGCACCCCAGCCCCAAAATGCTCCCCGGGAACTTTCAATAGCTGCCCACTGCTTCACCTGGTGGTGGATGGATTAAATGCAGAGAGCTAATTTCACCATTGTATGGGAACATACAATGATGACAATGCATAACACATTATTATTATTATTATTATTATTATTATATAACTGGCTGTAACTACCGTACCCCACCACTGCACCCTGTATTCACTGGTTAACTGCTCATCATTAACCTCATTCAGACTCTCTCATTGGTACATTTTCATCTTTAAATCACTTCTTGGTCTGCTGCCTTCATACATGTCCTCCTACATGTCTCTGCGTGTGAGTGCAGCTACAGCGTGCGCTCTCAGGACATTATTACCTGCAGTGTTCCCTCAGTGAGGACTGAACTAGGAAAAAGGGCCTTCTCCTACTCCGCTCCTGTTTCCTGGAATATCTTACAAAAAGATCTGAAGCTCTTGACCTTGACCTCTCTAAGTGGCTTCAAACATCTGCTAAGTTCCTGGCAAAAACCAACGCAGACAAATTCTTGTTTTTAGTTTTCTACATCGCCTTACAACCTAGCTGTATTTTTGTTACATTTTTTTATTAATACCATTTTATTTTCACTTGTTATTCTCAATTTTTGTGCATCTTTTATGATTGTCTATTGTTGTCTTTGTTGTCCAGTGTTGTCGTCATCACTCTTTGTTAAAATCAGGTCTCTCTTTTAAATGAGTCCTTGAAGCTCAATGAGATTAACCTGTATAAATAAAGGTTGAACGGATATGAATCCAACTGAATATTAAATATTCATATGGTTGGTTGAAAACTCTTTCTCATTTATGCAAATTAGTTTCTCATTTAATTATGATATACATGACACAGTGATTATGTTGCATATGAAGGAACAAGATAATCACTTCTCACAAAATGTTTAATGAGACAACATTTGTGTTTAATTAAGACAACAACTGTTTGAAAAGTTGTTAAATTATGAAGAGAAACAGGTTTCCTCTTAATTTTAAGCAGTTACATGTGTCTGTTACTGTTTTTTTAAATATACTAACGAATTTCATGTTGGAAAATGAAAGATATCACCCGTTTCTTCTCTCTGTCCGACTTCCTGCAGAGAATGAAGAAGCTGACCACTCCCAGCTCAGACCTAAAAATGAGAGGGAAACTTGCCTCCCACAGTCCTTACGCCGCCAATGATGCAAAACTCAAGGCCGATGGCAAAATCTCGACCATTTCAGAGAAGGAGACGCATTTCTAACACACGGCCCGACTGACCAGCCAAGCTGCCTGCTGTCTTTAACCAAGAAAAGTCCAGCAAACAAAAAAAACCCACAACAACATTACCAGCCGCAACACAAAACAAGAAATGAAACAAATGACTCAGAGTGCCATTTTTGTTTTGTAAAAAAAAGTTTTAAAAAGATGGGAAAATCACTGATTATATAGTCTGCTTCTATTTTGCACAAACTTTATCTAACACTTGATGTTTTCGTTTAACTCTCAAAGCAACTGTTGTTAACCATTAATATTTAAAGATGTGTTTAATGACGTACAATAAATGGTAAGAATCTCTTCTGTCAGTAATGGTCACACTAGTGTCTGTGCCTTTAGAATAAAACTGTGTTGTGTTGTAGCTTACACTTGACAGAACAAAGCAAACTACTGTGCCTCTGTTTCATGTGACTACCTAAGACGTAGCAGCTTGGGGACCACGCTACATATTTCTGTTAGGAAGGAACACGGTCTTAATGCTGAGGCCATGATGGCACTCATCACTCCTGGATTTCAACATTTTAGTCACATACAAAGAATTATACCATTTGGTTTTATGTGAAGCAGCTGCAACTCAACTCTTGAATAGTTTTGAATAAAAGTTCTTCTTGACGGATTAGTTTATTGACCCTTACCCTAGTGTTTATTGGGCTCCTTTAGGGTTGCACGTTTTCTGCGGCATCATATTTTTGGCTAAATGTTCATAGCAAAACTGAAAATGTTGAAGGTTCAAAAATATATATATTTTCTAGTTTGAGCTCCTAATAGATGTGTGTGGCTCACTGGTTGAACCCAAAACACACCTTCTCCTCTCACCGCCCTCCTTTAAGTCATGGATCTCTCATTTCACAGCAATTATGCAGAGCCTAACGTAGACTGACAGATAGACGTGCCTCAAGCCCTGCATTTGTATTTCCTGCTCCGCCTGTAAAGAAAATGATGGACGCACATCGGACGAGTATTTCAAACCACCTCTGTCTTCTTATTTTCAGCATTATTTCCTCCTCATCTCTCTTAGTTTCTTTCCTTCTCACCCATAACCTTTTTTTAATGTTTTCTTCTATTCTGCGTTCTATCATTACATGGTTGGCTTGACTCATTACAACATCCTCATATAAATTCATAGTACTGCATGTCATTACACATTTATGCTTCAGTAATATTATTACTATTGCGTATTGTGACCTTTTGTCTGACATGAAGAGCCTCGCAGTTTTCATTTTGCTGTCTGAGCCTTTGCAGCGGTGGAGATATTGTTCCCGTTCTCGTGGTGTGAAACAATGAGCTGGTCTCTTTGTTCTGAGCTGTTCCATCAAAACTCAAATTTTCTTCCACTTTTCCTTACTTCATCCAACTCTTACACTTCCCTTCTTTCTCATAATTTCTGATAAAAATGCAATCAGAGGAGAGCATCTGAGGGAATGAAAATCATTTCTTACAGTCATTAGGAGGAGGCAAAGGAGGCAAAGGAGTCAGGGGAAACATGGAGAATTGCTGAGTGGAGGAAGTGAGTGATTGGGTAGAGAATGAGAGAAATTAAGAAAGTGTTTAGCATTTGAAGCTCCCTCTTTAAATTGGTCACCCAGGTGCAGTTGAGTTTTGTCAGAATCACGTCCGTACAGATATTTGTACAAAGTAATAATGTGCATTCAAAATGATAGCCTGCTCTTTAACACCGATCACCTTGATGTATATTTTTACATTTCTTTCTAGAAATCTCTGGTTCATTTCTTGAAATGAAGCTGAACAAAAAATGCCTGTAAACAGAATTGCTGTAATAAAAACAGAATGTTTTCCTTATTTTGACTTTTGATATGTCCAAAAGAACTTGTTATAGACATTTAATGAAATGCATTTCACCGTTCTGAACTGTTCTACACACATTTTGGTTTTCACAGGACACAAACTGTCTGCTTACACATTTTTAAGAATAAATCTGAAAGAAAGTGGACTTTAGACTCTGGTATTTCCATTATTTTATTCACCCCATACAAAAAAAGGACAGATTTTATTTAATCTTAGTATTAAATGAAACTAAACTAAAATAAATAAGATGGTACATTGCTAAAAACAATTAAAAGATTTCATCGCAACCATTTACAATTGACAATTCTACAGTTTATGTTGTTGATGAAACAGCATTTTGTCCCTTCCATTAAAAAAATAAAAATATAAAATAAGGAATTCAAACTATTACGAAAGCACATTGCTGCCACACAAATAAATACATTTGCATGTACAAGAGTTAAATACTTCAAAAATCAGCTTTAGTTCCTTTGATTTGGAGATGAAATCTGAGTTTAATCTAACACTGCACAGTAAATCATTTGTTGCTGTATCACAAAGTTGCTGAATGAAACCTTCTAAAAGCTCTTTATGGGCAAAAAAAAAATGCTTCTGGATCCAAATCAATGAAACTCTGACAGCAATACGTATTTGAAATGGCTTCAAACTGCTCTATGAACATAAGTTTAGACTCTATGTAGTTTTGAAATCAAAAGACTGCCTTTTCAGGGTCTGAACAGTCAAACATAAAGATAAGAAGATTGAGGAGATTTATGAATAAAATCACATTAAAAATACTTGTTGCCTCAATTTTCATAACCACGTTGATGAGTGATGTGACAAAGTCCAGAGAAGCAACTGAAGTTTGAATTTAGATAGTAGCTACACTCATAGTTCAGCCATTTTCAGCTGTGTGGTTCTGGTTTTTCTAAAAACACAATTACATTTATTGAATTTACAAAATGTAAAGAGTTTATGGCTTCTTCACTTGCTAATTTCACAACAGTTGGACTGATAACCATTGAGTATGAACTGTAAATATGTTGTGGCTTCATATATAATATTAACTTAATATATTTTCTCTCTCAACTGCAGGTTTGTTTTCTGCCAACGTTCAGTCACTTGCAAAGATTTTCAGTTCACCTGGTAGCTGACAGCTGTGTCACTGCTCATGTGAGCCAAGCTGTAACACAATCATGCAAAAATGTACCGTGTTTTCCTCTCTACACGTCGCACTGCCATATAAGTCGCATCAGTCCAAATCAGAATAAACTTTATTGGCATTGCACCGAGATACACCGCGAACATGTTCGTACAGTCGTCCGAAAGATGGGCGGAGTGCACGAAGCTGCATCTATAGAAAGCGCGGCCTTTTCTTATTCTTATTCAGAATAATAGTTTGCTTAGATGAGAAAAAGGGAAGAAAACATGAAGAGAGACGGTATTAAAAAAAGATCTCTCATGCCGTGTCCTAGACAGGGCACGATTTGAGGCATCAATAATATAAATAGACGCTATACATGTACATATAGGTCGGTGAAAACATTGAATTTTTAAGGGAAAGTCGTAGCATAGTCCAGAGCCCCCCCTCTCAGCCATTGTCCAGATAAGCGGTGACATTCATCATCAGCTCAGTTGAGGTTCTGTCACATGTCCACAGGAAGGGAGGAGTGTGGAGACAGTCAAAGCGTCTTTGTTGTTTTCAAAACATTCCAGGAGGAGTTGAGATAAGTCTGGCGTCAAGGCCACAGTTTAGGTCAGGCAGAACTTATGAATTGCTGTTTCTGCCTTTTTAAAGTCATGCTGGTATATTCCTCTGATGGAAACTCCAAAATAGCCGAATTGATCCTTTACGCCAAAAGTCAAGCTCACAGCTTCTCCAAGATTATTTTCCCTTCATATGTGCTGCTATAGAGTCCGCAGTCCTGATAACAGCCTGCTCCAGCTCCCTGCTGCAGCTCCACAAATTCAGTCTGAGTGCTGTCGTGATTCGACACATCCACACAAATTTATAGACAATCCAGAATTCACCAGCCAAACAGCAAAATAACCAGTTGTCATCATGAATCCAATTTGTTTCCGTCAAGGTAAGAGGGTCCTCCTTATGCCCTGACTCCTGTCAGGAGAAGTTGATCAATTTTGTTGAGAGACCTTCGAATTAAGAGGTATGCAGAAAAAAACTAAAAAGAGGCTTTTTAAGGGTTCACAGGACAAAAGAGTGCAGCAGGGAAGCGGGTGGGGAGGGTGGGGGGGAAGACAGGGAGACACATCTGGTTCCACCGGAGGACAGAGGGGGAAAAAAAAAGTCTAATAAAGTGGAAAAAAAACCATAAATACCTCACTTCGCTGTTTAAGTCGCATCTATTATGCATCACCGCTGACAACCCGCAAATGTGGGCCGGTGTTGTGCCAAAAATCGATTGGCTGCCAAATGGCGGCAGGAGCATGTACAGGAGGACTTTAACAAGGATTTAACAACATAAACACTTAAAAACAATTATTTGTTTGCTTGAAATTATATTAAAGGTGTGTCTCAGTCTAACTTTTACTTAATAAAAAGACTTTACTGGTGAAATCAGCTGCATTTCATTTGCTGCCTCGGTGCTCCGAGAGCGCGCAGAGGGAGGAAATCATGAAGGAGAAACTCTGTGCATTTCTCCAAAATTTAACAAGATAAACATCTAAAAAAATGATTTGTTTGCTCGACATTATAGAAAAGGTGTGTCTCAGTTGAACTTTTACTTAATAAATGACTTCTATGGTCAAATTAGCTGCATTTCACCGGGGCGGTGCAGCAAAATGAAACTGATTTGACGTTTGCTCCAGGCATGATCCCGGAGCTGGACGAAGATGGTAGGCTATGGCAAGCCGATTGTGTCATTAATAGCCACCATTACCTATTACATGACACAACGGCATGCCATACTACTTGAGTGCCATCTAGCAGCTGAAAATGGTAGTGCTCAATATTTTCAAAGTCAGAATGAATGAAAACGGTCATATCTCAACCAAAAAATTGGTTTATGAATATGGAAAAAAAAAAAAAAAAAAAAAAACATAAGTTGCTTCGGTGTATAATTCACAGGGCATGGAAATATGCAAACAATGGTGACTTACAGGCCGAAAAATATGGTACTGGTCACAGCAGACCTAAATAAATTGATCTGCTGAAGTGAGGTTCTGTGGTAAGATTACAAACATACTATCTTACCTGTTGCAGAAAGCTCATAACTTTAATTTTGAGAAATGGAGTTCAAATCTGACTGGCTTGATGGGCTAACGACTAGTCAGAGGAGAGATTTCAGCCATTTTTAAACACATTTATGTAACAAACAAGATAATAGAAAAGGACAAATGTGATGAGTTATGCAAAACATATTTTTTACAATAAAACAGTTTGCAACAAATGTAGTTTTACAGACATGATAGGAGGCCAAAAACAAGTGAGAAAACACGAGACTTCAAACAGAAGAGCCTGTAAGAGAGACATGTAGCGTTCATGCTCTCGTTATTCTTATGGAGA